CCCCCCCCCCCCCCCCCCCCCGCTCATCTTGCGTCCCCTCCAGGCGACGGTGTGGTGGACTCCACGGACGAGGTGGTCGGACCTACCCCTGCCCCGACCTCCAGCACCGACGGCTCCCGCGGCATCGATGGCGACCGCACCCTCTCCCCCACCTCCGCCCCGACCACCGCCGCGGAGGCTCTGGGCAGCTCGTCCGCCCCGACCACCGCCGCGGAGGCTCTGGGCAGCTCGTCCGCCCCGACGCCAGCGGTGGACGCGAGCGAGGAGTGTCCCGAGGGGACGGTGCCGAACGAAAGCACCTCGACTAACCTCCGGTGTGTTAGCGGCGCGGTGGGTTTGTTCTCTGGCGGCCGCGCGTACTCCGGCGTGGTGTACGCGGGCGTCCTGGGCCTCGCGCTCGCCGCCGGCGGCGCGCTTGTTCTGTAATGAGGATTGGGTGTTATGTGATTGGAACGAAGGTGTTCTTCAAAGGCATGAGCAAGGTGTACGGCAAGGAACATGTTATATAAGAGGGCAGGCATGGGTGTGGCGACTTGCTACGGCAGGGCTTGATTTTCGAGAGGGACATGACCGCTTCGTACAAATTGAAATTGAACGAACATGACTAATTTCGTGAGGTTTTGGCTTGGGAATTACCAGTACAACGAAGTTAACACTGCTGTGGTTGTGTGTTGGTTTTTCCGGCAGATGGGAGGAAGGGAGGCTGCTTTCTCGCGGTCTATTATCTGTTGTTGATGCTGTTCAGTTTAGAAATATTTACCAGGGGGAGGCGGGCGGGCGGCGGTGATGGAAAGGGAGGCTCGGCCGGATTGTGTCAGTAGGAAGGAGGGTGTGTGTTATGCACGTGGAAGGATTGATGTCTAGATCACCGCAAAAAACTGTCCGTTCGCGTTCCACTTCCCCCTCTGGACCCTTGGCAAGCCCATTGAGCGTTGGACAATGAGTTTCTTCCGCGCTCGGCGGCACGTTAGAGATGTAATTTTTCTCTTGAGAACGAAATTATCCCGGAGATATATATTTTTCGGTTTAGGACTTCGGCAGAGGTGCTGTACTTGGCTGCGGCTCTTTTCGGTTTGACGGGCAATCTGATTAGCGTGTGCTCTTTACTTGTTCCTTGTACGCATCTCGTGTGGTAAAACGTTTTCGATTTTAGTTAAATGTTGTCGATTTCATAAGATTTCGGCTCCAACCGCAATTTTTCTGTGGGGGAGAGGGGGGGGGCATGTTATTTTCGACATGCCTGGGGAGTTTGCAGAATACGCTTATTTGTAATCGGGGGTTTGGGGGGGTGGTTGTGCCAGTGCGTGGTTGGTTGATGTGAGTACCGCCGCTCTTCACGGAACGGTTCGCGTTCTGCGGGAACCCTTCGAGCGCCGAGCATGGCGGCGCTCAACCATTTGCCACGGGCAAGCCGCGTGTTGGCCGGTTCTCCTTTTTTGAAACAGCAGCGATAGCGCTGTTGTGTGGCATGTTTAGTTGGTTTCGGTTTTGCCTTCATTGTCCCATGTGGTATCATGTCATTGTTTTTTCGTGGTGTTCGTGCCGCAGCGGTAGCAGCAGATTGGCAGCTACAGCAGTCAGATGCGGCGAGGAGAGGAAAATGCCCGCAGCAGTTGTTAGAGCACGGAAGCGCCCGTTGGATAGAAGCCTCGTGTATGGTGACGGGTTTGTGTCGTCTGTCTGCGGAAAGGAAAGATCGCCTTGCCTCCCTGCACTTTCTCACTCCCCTTTTCTATTTTTCGGACGTTCCTTGTGTAGTTGTAGTTTTTTGTGTGCGCAGTTGGAAATAGTGCAAATTTTTCTTGTTCACCGTTGTCAATTGCAACGATTCATCTCACCACAGCAAGCTAAACGTTCTTTGGAACCCGTGGTTTGGACTGTTCGGCGTGTGAAGACTGGCGTCCAGAATGAAAAGAACGACCCACACACACAAACGTGCACATATTTCTCTTCATGTCTGTTACCGTTACCGTCTTCACTCCGAAGAAAGGGCTTGCCTCTTGCACGCCGCCCTCTCCCAGATCATGACGTTCAGGAGACCGTCGTTGTTTTCAGCGGTGCTTAGACACTGAGATTGGCACCTGTTTTCGGTGGCCATCCGGTCAGCGTGGTTGATGGAAAAAAGAAATGAAAGGAATCCATGTACGTGGCGCTCTATTCTGTGCAGGCTACTGCGATAAACATGTTCTTCCAGGAGCTCCTTGACTTCATTTCAGTCGTGGTCCCAGTTTAGCGGTCCAAATGTCACAAATTGTTGTAACGCGTTTCGGCTACACCGGATTGGCAGTTCATAGTAGTTGTTATATAGTAGTTGCACTACCGAGGTGCAGCCGTGACACGAATTTTTGGGACCACTATTCAGGGCATCCCACCATGCAGAGAGCCGCTAGTCCGGGACCACGACTGAACGCCTTAATCAAAAGTCAAGCCAGGTCAAAGGCGTAGCTGAATGAATCGGCGAAACCCCCTGGGAGTCTGCCCCGCGCGGTGTTCATTCGTCAAGTCGACCCCATGTGACTGTATTGTCTTATCCTCCTGTGGATGTTAGGGCTTCCAAAGACACTTTACTTTTTTCATCCATGCTTCGCTACGGTTGACGTCACACGGTACATTCAATGTCCCCGACCCGCTGTTGGGAACACTGCAGCAACACTAGAATAACAACAGCATCAGGGTGGCTCGTTGTCGGGGCCCTTTATTTACTGTGTTCCACTCATAGATAGCCACAGTAGTAAAACATTGCAGAAGAGGTCATGGTGCTCCGGGTACGCAAGCACTGTACGCAGAGAAATTATCATAGAGACCGTTTTAACCCTGCGTAGGCTACTACTGCTATTGAAACGGGAGGGCCGGTGTGGTGAGGCCTCATGCAACGGTTGGGGTGCACTAAATTCTTCTGAGTTTCAAACGTTAAAAGCTCCACATCTCAGCCTGAAATGGACATTGACACAAGAGTGTCTGACACGCGTACCTGAAATGGACAATCCATCCGTCCCTCCGTACGGTAGTGAGAAAGTCCCCAACCTCTCTGCAAATATGTTTTTTCCTCATTTTTGCGGCGAGTTTTTTTCCTGTACTATTTTCAGTATTTATGTGCCAAGGGGGTGTTCCGCGGCAAAGACGAATTGTCTCTCCCGCGGCGAGGAAAAACTCAAATGAAAAACCGCTTTTGGATACATGTCTAAAACGACGTTTAGAAGCATAAAAAAACGAGAAACAAAAAAAAATGTGACTGGATCGCCTTGATTGTTTTTTTTCACCGCGTTGCCGATTTCGGCGCCTCCATTTCACCTCGGCAATCGATTCCGCTTGGCCGATTTAGGGGGGGTAGAGCCACTCAGAAAGTTGATCAGACAAAAACTCGACGTGGGAACCGAGAATCCAAAATCCCAGGAATTTTGAAATTGCTCAGCTACTGTCAGCTTTTGAGCAGCTGAAAGTCCATTGCAAATCAAAACTGGGACATTCCAACAATACATTTGTGATCCCCACCCCAAAATGACCCTAATTCGAAGTCAGGAGAGATTGAATCAACATGTGGAGAGTGTTGCGGGAAGGGGAATATTTCGGTGTAATTCCTAGTAATTCCAGGTTATCCCTGCTTTCGCGCATATATATTAGTGCGTAGCTGTATCACGGCCGCATCGATCCTGATCGAAATTCTGACGGCGGATTCTTGATGTACAACACAACATTAGCCTAATCTGAAAAATTTATACGATTCGGAGGCGTTTGCATCTTGCTCGGGGGGCCCGCAGACGCGATTTTCACCCAATTTTGGCCACTCATTCATCAATATGTCATCACCACGACATCCAAATGGGAAAATAAGAATATTTTCGTGATCCACGAGGCCTAACGGATGTTGGTACAAATTTTCAAAGGTTGGGAATCATTTCTTGCTGCTCGTTGAAAAACTCGTGGAAACTATTCGTCTTTACCGCGGAACACCCCCAAGATGCCAAGACAACCGACAATTGAAGGAAGAACCCGTCGTTTAGTTGTTGCGGTTGGCGTCCTTCGGCGTCCTCCGGCGTCGACATCATGCTACCGAGTCCCAGTCATATTCGGTAGCTCGTAGAGGTCTACCGGGAGCATCGATCGCGAGATACCCTAGACAAACCGGTCAAAGAAAGGCGTCCGTCCGTCCATGGTTCCGAGAGCTGACGAACCATGAAGAAAAAGAGGTGTGTCACCATTATTCACGTGTGGCATGCACGTGAAATGAAGTTCGCAGGAGGTGGTGAGATTGTCGGCAGGACTCGATCAACAAATGTGCACCAAATAAAAAGAAATCTGATCATTTATTCGTATCGTAAAATAGTGAGTATAAGAATACGACTATTACACCGACATTCCAACACATTTTGAACAAAACGGAACGCGTACCGCGCTACACAAGAAATAATAGCCATCCTTGCTTGCCGCGGATTCTGCGCTACTGCTTCGAGTACCTACTCAACACCTGGCGACGGCAATAACACCATCTCCCTTCCAAATCCAAGAACGAACATCGAGACAGACGGAGAGAGATAGCAAGCACCCAAGGATATTCGCACCCCCCGTCTTTTATTTCCGGCGCACGCCTCATCACACCCAAACACTTGACTCCCGTTCCCTTCTACCCATTAGGAGACCAAGTGACTCAGCAAAATAACAACACGGAAGGGGATGATGTCATCCCCATCGCGGTTTGAATTTCAACGACGGGAGGGAGCGCCGTCTGCTTGTCGACCAACCCCTAACGACAGCCCTTCGCTTCCGAATGTTTCTCGACTCTGTACAGGGAAAACAGATCAGCAACGCGTCCGAGTGTGCGCCATGCCGCCGGTTGACAATGTGGCTGCGGTTTGCCGTGGCTTTCTCAACGAAAGGAACGAGGGCGTTCGAAAAAGACAAGAACAAAAAACAAAAAATGTCGGGCTCTATTTGTCGCCCAGCGCTCCTCCTCCTTCTCCTACTCCTCCTCAAGGGAGGAGACTTAACGACAACACCGTCGGACCCTGAAGAGCCAACCACATGGTTCATCGTGTCCGAATACGTACGTACGGATGTTCCAACACCCTAGCAGGCGCAAAAAAACTCCAAGGACACGCTACGCACCCATGAAGCGAACGACTATTCTGTTCTTTGATATCTCAGACGGCTTCCTGGCCAGGTTGTTGCCAGCTATCTCCAACCAAGCTTCAGAGCAGACCGGGCTGAGGGCATTGTCTGTCGCCGGAAGCTTTTACTACGACTTCAAACGAGGCCAACAAGATAGGGAAACCCCGTAACAAGGCGGGGGCCATTTACCAAAAAAAAAAGAAGCACAATATGCATTACGACAAAAACACAACTTACCCCCTTCGTCGCCCGTCCGAATCTGCGGACACAACCCGAAGCGACCCCAAGCGACCAATAGCGAGAGATGCTCGTGCCACATTCACGTCCAAAGTGCGAAAAAGGCACCCTCTACCACTTCTCCCACGCTAACTGAGCCTGGACGTGACGTGCCTGATCACGGAATCATGCACCTCGCAAAAAAGCACTTGCCTAAGGTCAGACACCCGGCAAAAACCGACCCTCCTCGCCCCCCGCGTAGAAAGAACCAGCACGCCGAACGGCGTTCGCGGGCGAGCATCGACACCAAGACAAAAAAATTACCGAAGCTTCGAGAGGTCCAAGATATCGCTTGTCTGAAGTATCTATCATTGGGCAACCACATGTGCGGTTCGTTTACTTGTTTCTACGCCTCGGCTACTGCAGGTATACTACGCAGCCGATCGCGACCACCGCCGCAGTATCCCCCGCCCGCCCAGGCGGCGCTCATTGGCGGAGCCACGGCGGGGACAAGGCAGATTCAGCCACACAAAAAAAAACACCGGCGTTCAGTTAGAACAAAAATAAAAAAACACGGCGTTCCTGTAAGAACGTCGTTTCTAACAGCTCCTGCGCGAGGAGTCCGTTCGTTCGCCCCAGCTAACTGAAAAACTCGCCGCCGCCGCCGCCGCCGCCGCCGGTTTATCATCACGCGGCGAGCACGGCGGCCGCGAGGAGTGCCGCGGACGCGGCTGCCAGCACCGCCGCCGCGGGGGAGCGAGCGTGCCCCAGCCCGGGGGCCCCGTCCGCCTCCCCCTCGGCCTCCGCCGCCGTCTCGCCGTCCTCGTTGGTTGGCGCCGGCGTCGCCGGGACGGCGTCAGCTCCCTCGTCGTCCGTAGACGACGCGGGGGACGGCGCCGGGGTCTCGTCGCCGTCAGTCACCGTCACATCCCGGTCCGCGCTGGTGCCGGTCCCCGCGGAGGATGGAGTCACCGTCGGCATGGGAGTGTCGGCGGTCGCCCCCTCCCCGGACGGCGTCGGCGGCGGCGTCATAGCCGCGGCGGTCGGGGCGGCGGCGTCTCCGGCGACGCCGCCGCCGGCCTCGGTGTCGGCGGCCGTGGGCGACGGGGTGTAGTCGTCGTCGATGGTGATGCAGCGGACGCTGACGGTCGGGGCCGGGGTGTCGTTGTCGACGACGGGGATGGTGCCGTCCCCGCACCCGTCGTCGGAGACCGAGCCGTAGTAGGTTGCGCTGGGGGGCCCCGCGTCCGAGACTCCGCCGGTGGTGTCGACCACATAGGAGTCTGTCGTCGCGTTGGTGGCGACTAAGGCTAGGGCGACGGCCGCGAGACCGAGCATTCTCCTGGTGGTTGTTGCTGAAGCCGGAACCATCATTGCTGCCGCTGGGTTATATGATGTGTCGTGGGATATAATTAAAATGATGTGCCGTGCGAGCCGGTTGGAGATGGCGTGGAATGTAGGACACGCGCCTGCAGAGGGAAAGGAGCATGGAGAGAAATGCGGGGTGGGGGGGGGGGGG